TACCATTTTAAGTAAATGTTAAAAATCTATGGGCAAAATTAAAAAAATAATTGATCATTTTGAAGCGAATTTAATAAGCTTTAAGATAATGTCATGTATACTTAATTCAAATTTTATTTTTTTTTGAAAATTAAAGCAACATAAAAAGTGAATAAATCGCAAAGTCAAAAAATTAAACTCCTAATACGAGATGCCCCAAGAAATCGATAATAAAACGTAAAATAGATCAGTATTGCAATTAAAAAACTTTATTTAACGTTTCTAAAATACCAACAAACACAGTCACTGTGCGCGCAAAATGAGAATAAATTGTACCTAGGACTCGTCTTCAGATAATTGAAATTAACCATCGCAGAAAAATAGACACTCGATGTTCATTCCTTTTTATTATTTTACAATAACATTTATACTTTAGCAACGATTTTCACTATGACATGGGAGCATGGGTTATTTCATATTAGCAATACCCTGAGTATCTCATATTACAATTTCCATGCCTTATGATTTTACGATCATCAAATCTAACTTCTATAATTAAGGAATTCAATATCCTCGTATTTTTCTATTAGTATGCTTATTCTATCACTACATGAAGAATTTATTGTAAAATATTTACATGTTAAATAATAAATAAGGTTTAGAAGCTCATCTCAGTGAAACTTGAAGATATCTAAATTTTAAAATCTTTTTTATAACGATTACAGACATAATTTAATAATGAATTTTTCACTAAATAGAAAATTTTAAATTAATTAAATTTTCAAGAACAATAAATTTATAGTGGAACCAATAGATAGTGGAACAAATAGATAGCGTCTAGTTTACCGATTAATTTAGCTGAAACGCTGCTATCTCATATTAAGCGTTTATCTCATAATAGAAGGTTTTCCTCTATTCTATATGTTTTCTATATTTCTATATGTTAACTATATTTTCTATATTTCTATATTTTCAAACTATTTTTTTTACATTGCTTTATACATATATTCTTTCAATGTCATATTATTTCAACATTAATTTCATATTGCACGTATGTTTACTTGCAATGTTACTCAAACTGGAATCACAAGTAACTATTAGAGTCTCAAAAGTATCTATTGGAGTCTTACTAGTAACTATTGGAACATCAATAGTTACCAATAGTAATTATTGAACTTTAATAGTTTTTTTTCGTATAGGGTACATCATACATATAATTTAATTATTAATCTCAATTGATCTTAATTTTTTATAAGACACTTATGAAATATGTAGAGTACACTGAGACAAATGTTTTGTACATATAATCATTTTTGATTTATGACTAACAGAAACTTTCTTTATCATAAAAATTGTGTTGTTCTTATCGAAACTTGGTTATTCAAACTAAATTTAGAATAACCAAGATTTGGTTATTCAATGTAAATTCTGTTAAATTCGATCCAAAACTCTCTCTCTCTCTCTCTCTCTCTCTCTCTCTTTCTCTCTCTCTCTCTTTCTCTCTCTCTCTCTCTCTCTCTCTCTCTCTCTCTCTAGCTCTCTCTTTCTCTCTTTCGTTTGGATGCCGTTTGAATATATTACAAAATGCATTCTATTATAAATGTATAAAGATGAATTTGTTAGTAAAAATATAGGTTCAGGAAATTCATTAACTTTCTTCCCTTTAATATACTTCAATCCATTAATGCCTAATACAGTCGTCATAACATCAAACTGAATATGTGATTCAGCATAAGCGAAAAAAAAATTACTAATATTTTTTCGTTTTGCAAAATTGATTGTTTAGACGATAATTGTTTAAACAATTATTGGGAGTACAAATAAGTTTCCGCCGTTTGCAAAAGACGGCGCCAATAAACTATAGTTAAAATTGTTTGATGTAAAACGACATATCGTAAGATTGGACATCCGGCAACATCAATCTTGAAATATTAGCGATTTTGTATCAGCATATATTTTTTTTTGTACGAAAATGTCGAGTTTTGAGCCGAATAAGCGAGAACTTTTGATTTACTTCTTTACTTCTTTAATTTGAAGAAATCTGCAGCTGAGGCTCATAGATTGCTTGTAGAAGCATATAGTAATGCTGCCTTAAGTGAGAGAAGTTGTCGTGAGTGGTTTCAAAAGTTTAAGAACAGTGAATTTGATGTCGAAGACAAAAAACGTAGTGGAAGGCCGAAAGTGTACGAAGACGCGGAATTGGAAGCATTATTGGATGAAGATTCGTGCCAAATGCAAAAAGAACTTGCACTTACATTAGGAGTGACTCAAAAAATTTCATATCGTTTGAAATCATTGGGAATGATTCAAAAGCAAGGGAATCCATATCCAAAGAAGATAATCCAAAGAAGAGGAAATCATAGGGACCTGGCCATGCTTCAACATCGACAGCCAAGCCGAATATTCATGGAAAAAAACTCATGTTGTGTATTTAGTGGAATCAGCTTGGTATATTATGAGTGTTTGTTCAAACCGAACGAGATCATTACCGGGGCTCTCTGCCGAACACAATTGATGAGATTGAGCCGAGCACTCAAGGAAAAACGCGCCCACTACTACTCCAGGCATGACAAAATTATTCTCCTGCATGATAATGCTCGACCACATGTTGCGGCGCCGGTCAAAATCTTAGAAACATTCAAATGGGAAGTTCTACCCCACCCGCCTATTCTCCAGACATTGCTCCTTCCGACTATCACTTGTTCCGATCGATGACGCATGGCCTGTCTGAGCAGCACTTCACATCAAATGAAGATACCAAAAATTGTATCGATGATTGGATATTCAAAAGATGAAGCATTCTTCCGACGTGGTATTCACATGCTACCAGAAAGGATGGGAAAAAGTAGTGGCTAGTGATGGCCATTACTTTGAATAAAATATTATGTACCATTCTTTTACAATAAATGCTTAATTTTTTATAAAAAAACGGCGGAAACTTATTTGTATTTAATTGTAATTGTAATTAAATATTTCCCAATATTTAAAAATGCCCATTTTTTTTATATTAAAAGTATCATTCGATTTTATATTGGAAAACAAGAAACTTTTATTTTTTGTATTTTTTTGATCCGGTGCTTTGTTTGTGCAAAAAATTGTTACAAACGCTTTGCATGCGCATCGGCTTCCGCTCATGCTCTGGGTATTGCATATTGTTCTTTGATTTTCCGGTTTTGATCATTCGTCTTTCCTCTCATTTTGAGGTGCCTCTATGAGTTCCCTCGCCTCTCACTGAACTCAGGATGCTTTCTCATTCAAGTCTAAAAAAGTACCCCAAGTTCAGTGAGAATTCGTAGAATGGCACTTTTAGTTTTTAAAAAACGGGTATTTTTAAACAATTTGTTTAAACAATTATCGTTTAAACAATCAATTTTGCAAAACGAAAAAATACGGGTAATTTTTTTTTTATGCTATGAATCACGTATTCAGTTTGGCGCTGTCACGGCTGTAGGCATGGACCTTAATGGGTTAAGATCATTAAAATTGATTTCATCATTAATATGAACATTAACTATTCATTTTGTTATTTTATTTAAAAAATAGCTTTTTCATAGAAGTCCATGCGAATTACTTTTATTTTAACCCGAAATAAAATTCTTTATAAAGTATCTCCAAAACCGACGGAAATATACTTTAATTTTTTTATATGCGTTTCATAATAGCATATAAATATTAGAATATATTAAATAAGCTCGAATATATGTATAGAATAAGTAAATAAATTTTAAAATACGAAGCTCTTTTTTCATTGTTTAACCCTTCATGGTCATATGGTACTTCAAAAAAGCCACATGATAATTACTATTTTGGGTTAAAATGGCCGAACCGTTTCTGAAGTGTTATTAAATCACTAGTATTGATTCCATTCTTCAAAAAATTACAATATATAACTTTATTTTTTAAGAAAATGGAACAATCATGTTGTAGTGAAAAATTTAATTTTAACTCTTAAAAAAAAATTATAAACATGTTAATTTCGGAAAAATGAATATTTTTTTTACTTAAAAAAAATCATAACTTTTTAAATTTGTTAAGCTTATAAGGATGCAAGTCTAGAAACTCGGATTTTTAATGAAGCCTTTAATTTTTCTCATATACTCTATACACAGCGATCGTTCCACGCGCCTGCTCGGAATCTGTCTGCTCGGAACATTGTTCCGTCCAACCATCTCGCCGACAACTCGTAAGATTCTACGCGGACCAATCATAATTTGGCATCACTTTGACTTTAAAATGCGAGAAATAAACACAAATATCAATGATCTTCTAAACCGTTCAAACAATGACATGGATCGCGTGGATCAGACCACGTGGAATTCATTATCTTTAGATAACTCTAGAGAATTCGTCAACATTACAATATTTTTGAATGCAGTTTTAGCCTAATACTCTTGAGGTGATGTACTTAAAAAAAAAAAAAAATAGTACGGTTACACACGTAAAAAGTATTTATTTTGAAGATAGAAGATGATAGTCTTTTAGATGTAAAAAATTCCGGTAAAAGGCTATTTATTTAAGTTAATATTAATGTAAAAATTATTATTAATATTGAAGACAAATATAAGTGAAATCATAGGCACAGTCATAGGCACAATGGACATTCTTTCCTCGTTTTTTAGCCTTACTTGTTGAAGGACACAATCACAATCTTGCTTATTTTTGCAATTTAATGCAAAAATATAAATCACAAATTTTTTGAACAAAAACGACGTGTTGGTTACACTTGCTGACACTTTAATCTAAGAGAAAAACGCTTTTTGCGCGAATGGCTGTTAAATGCTTACTAACAGTCCGATTAAAGCTGAAAATTTTTATTGATAGTTGAAGTTTTAAACTTTCAGTCGATGGTAGATACGCGTCCTTTCAATGTCAGGAAGGTTCTGAAATCTAACGTGAAAGATGATGCTCGAGTCATTTTAATCCAGAAGGATCATGAAGGGTTAAGACAATTTTAATTAATTTGAAGTAATTTTATTTAATTTGAAATTTAAAAAATATGTTAAAAAATAAATTGTATTAACATGAAAATACATTTGCTATCTGGAAAAGAAGAGCTGTAAGCTTAAATGCAATATCATCCTTTTTTATGCATATATACTTACTCATAAAACGCGTTAGAGTCGATGATACGATAAAAGTAAAAGATTCAATATTTTTATTTTAAAGTACAATATTCAATCTTTTATTTGAATCTTTGTCTCTAATATAATGGATTTATACATTAGCTAAGAATGTAAAAATATGTTTTCTTCTAATTTTTCTATAAAATTTGACGTAACAGAATATTTGTGCGGATTCGGATTCAGCGAAGATTATATCGCTTTTTTCCCAGCCCACAAAAATCTAAAATTTGTAAACTTTGGATAATTTTTTTTATCTAATTTTTTTTATCTAATTTGTAATATAAAAAAGTTAAGCAGCCATAATTGAAGAATTTTTTATTTATAAGATAAAACCTGCCAATTGAGCTATTTATATTTTATGTTACTTTATTTATGCGCAAAGATTGATTTTTGTAAATATCAATAATTGTAATATTATTTCACAGTAATGTAAAATCACTCTGGAGGCCAGAATACGGTGCTTATATGCTTGAAGGAACTCCAGGAAAACCATATGGAGGATTATTAGCTCATTTTAATGTTGTTGAAGCTAATATGCGCTATCGAAGGCAAGAAGCAACAAAATTACTTCATTCTAACGAAGTCTTAATGTCATTAACTATTTTTCCAAGGTAACTATGAAAAGATATCGTTGCCATAATATTTCGTATTTGGTGGTACTTTTTAAATTAGTTTTATTATTTATGTTGCAGAGTAGGAGCTCCTGATTTTACTGATCCTCTTACTCATCCTACACCCAATACTGGTGCTTCTAGGAGTTTATTTTTTCCTGACGAAGCTATATATCCTGGCCATCCACGTTTCAAGACATTGACCAGAAATATTAGAGAACGTCGTCGAGAGAAAGTTGCTATAAACATTCCTAGTATGTAACAGTATTATGAACGACATCAGTTTCTTAATTAATTTATTTTGAGAATCAAATATACTTAAAAGTCGACAGAAGAGACTATAGAGATCTTTAATTGGAGACAAATTTCTTCATGCTGAAATTACTGAGCAACACTTTAATTTAATACAAATTAATATTCGAAATTAAGAAAATCATTTAAAGACTCATATCGAACTAATTTTTTTTTTAAAAGACAAAAAATTCATTTTGATATCTCATCTGATGTGTATTATAATGCAATTGAAGTGCACATAATTTTTATTTATTCATTCGATGGCGCAACATCCCAAAGTCGGAGCCTTTCGTATATATCCGTGATGCGCACGCAGAATATACATAAACGTATGGATACAATTTCGGTTCTGAATGGCAGTTTGAGAATGCCGTTCAGAGAATGTCCATGTACGCGAAATCGGAACGACGGAACAAATTTCTTATTAGAGAATTGAGTTAACTAGAATTTCCGTAAGAATTTCTTTGTCAATCCCATATAGTCGGAACGGAATAGTAACAGAATGGAATTTTGGTAACAAAATATATTTTACTCTTATAATTCAATATTTTTGAGTATTCACAGTAATGTTATATAGGTAGATAATTGCACAAATTGTGCATATTAATCGCATTTAAATAACGAAATATCGAAATAAACAAACAAATTAACAAATTCAAACAAATTAACTTGTAATTGAGGTAACTCTTCGTTCCGTTATTATTCTGTTCCAACTACATGGAACTAGTAAAAAAATTTCTTATAGAACGGAATTCTAGTCAACTCAATTCTCTAATAAGAAATTCGTTTCGTTGTTCTAATTCCGTGTACATGGGTACACCACCGTGTATACAACAATTCTCTGTCACCTTTGATGTTAGTATTTCCCAAAATGGAATGCGCATGCGCGAAATAAATAAGTTCCCAGTAGCGCCATCTGAATATCTTTCTTAGTTGCTCTTTATTTTCTCGCTCTCGCTCTCTCTCTCTCTAAAACGTCTGTACATCAAATCAATTTAATCTAAATGTTTAATCTAAAAGTTTAATCTAAATAAAACTATTAGAAATAGATTTAATTGTATTTATTATTAAATGTAATTTAATGCACAAAAATAAAATAAAACGCTGCAAAATAAAAAAAAAATACAACAATAAGAAGATAAAATTATATAAATGTTGTATGATACAAATATTATACTAAAAATATTTTAATTAACGACTGCAGCACACGATGCTTATTTTTCTGTTAGATCGCTTGCGTTTTAATAAATTATTAGAATTGCACACAAAACACAGATTTTCTAACTAAAACGAAAGCAATACAGCTGGAAAACAAACAACATACTTAAAGAGAACAGTATTTAAATGCAGGTTTGAAAGAGAGAACGGAAAAAAGAAGAAGTGAGATAGAAATTTAGATGACGTTATTGGACAACTTACTTATTTCGCGCATGTGTACTCCATTTTGGAAAACATAAAATCAGGAAAGTTGCGCTACTGTAACGACACTCTGAGAAATTTTCTTGACAATAGATACTCTTGGTGGTTTACCAGACCACCGAAGAGGAGGTCGAGACGAGTGAAAATTTCTTGGATTTGCTGCGGATCAAACCCGAGTCTCCTACATAGACTCGCGCGTTGTCCACTATGCTACGCTCGTGCTCGTAAATAATTATTTATTATAATTTTATTATAATTTATTATAATTTATTATAATTTATTTATTATAATTTTTTTTAATTATGAAACTACGAAAGCGCGTACAGAGCTAGATTTTGCAAATTGATTCTTGAAAAATTATAATCTTATTTATTATAATTTTTCAAAAATCAATTTAAAATCCAATTCTGTACACGCTTTCGTAATTTCATAAAAAAAAGAAACCAAAAAATTCTCATCATGTATTACCTTTTAAGAAATAAAATGTCAGCATGATATCAACATGCAAATAAGGAGTATATTGTATATTTTATCATAATGTTTTGAGAGAAAAATTGCAAAATTTTTGTTAACAGGTTTTATAGCTTTATAAAATATAAGTTAAAACAAATTTCGTGGTAAAATATTTTTTCTACTAAACAATACACAGGGTATATCAAAAATTTGGAAACGGTCAAATATCTTGAAAAAGCAAAGCATTTTTGGGAAAAATGTTTCCAATAAAAATTGTAGGGTTTAAAAAGATTTATTCACTGATCACTTGATCACATCGTTTGACCTTGAGTGGCAAAATCAGGTCGAGGTCAAATCAATTTTTGTAATATACTATTTTTTATGCTAGAATCTAATAACTGGTGTTAAAAGCTTTTTAAAACACTATAATAAAATTATTTTTCATTAAATATTTTTTTAATTAGGCTTGAAAGTTAAATAGAAATCATCGACATTAGTACTATCAGAGGTGTCTGTCCGATGACTTTTAAATATTGTCTTTTAAACATTATCAGGATCATGGATCTGGGTAATATTTGTTAAGATCAAGATTATTAGAAGTTGTATTTCTTATTTTCATTTTTATGCAAAAATGAAATTTTAGTACCAAAATGAATATAATAGGAATAATTTTTAATGGTCTTGGCCTTGAACAAATGTTATCCAGATTATGATCCTGAACAACATTCAAGAAGTTTTAGTCTTTTATACTATTATTAATGCTGGTAATACTTATTAAATATTTGTAAATGTAACATTATTTTTTGGTTATATTAAACAAACATTTGTTTGGCATTTGCTCTGATACAATGTTTCACACACACACACACACACACACCACACACACACACACACA